TTAAATCTGATTTTTTTCTTCACAGATGCTGCCAGACCTGCTGAGCTTTCCCAGCAACTTCTGATTTTGTTCCTCTTAAATGGCTAGTTGACTATGAAGCATAACAGACTCCAGGCTTGTTCAAATGCCGTTGAGCTGGGGTCTGCTTTGACCAGCCAGCTTCCCCCCACCCAGACTTCCAGGTGAAACATCTCTAAGGCTAGAGATGGCATTCGCTAGATATTTGCCACAGTGTATGTGACAGGCTTAGTGTTACAGACGCACCGTGATAGCAAGAGTGCTGTGTGTGGGGCATGGGTTTGCATTCCTTACTTGGTGCATTTCCCATCCAGCAGGAAGAAACCATCCAGGCACGATTCACAGCGCTCCCCTGAGCTGTTGTTCTGACACTGGACACAGACAGCGTTATCTTCCCACGGTCCCTCGTTCAGCCAGTCTGTGATCTACATGGGATCGAGTACAATTAGTCAAGGTCAGAACTGATCACAGGCGATCAACCAATGCGCAGTGACACTCCGAAACACAGGCACCATTCCAGAGGGTCACTAGGGGATGTGACAGTGTCTGCTGGGTCTGGCTTTATTTCAGAGGGAGTGGGGTATAAAAATATTGAGAGGTTTCACCACAACTATACAAGACACGGGGTCAAAGCATAGCTGGAATACGGTGAAACAGTTCTGGAACGCTTAGCAAAGGGAAGATATTCTGGCATTAGAAACAGAGAGGGCGTATAGAGAGTGAGTATACACCTTATGAGGAGAGGTTGAGTAGATTGGGCCTGCACTCAGAGTTTCAAAGAATTAGAGGAGACCTTATTGAAATGTGCAAAATTCTTTGGGGATTTGACAGGGGAGATGTATTTTCTCCTTGTGGGAGAGTTTAAGTCCAGAGGGCATCATCTCAGCATAAGGGGTCACCCATTTACGACAGAGATGAAGGGGAAGTGAATCTGTGGAATTCTTTACCACAGAGGGCTATGGAGGCTGGGTCATTAAAAATCTCTCTATCTCAGCCTTGAATGTACTTAATCAGTAAGGGGGTATCAAGGGTTATGGGGGAAAAGTGAAGTTGAAGATCAACTACAATCTCACCAAATGGCGGAGAAGACTCAATGGACAGAATGGCCTATTTCTGCTCCTGCGTCATACGAGAGATCAGCAACACTCCACCTGGGGCTGTGCTGGCCCATTGACCCTGCTAGTTCACTGGGTGGTGTTGGCAGAGCGGGTGGTGTTGGCAGAGCGGGTGGTGATGGTAGAGCGGGTGGTGTTGGCAGAGCAGGTGGTGATGGCAGAGCAGGCAGTGCCACAGAAGTATCCTTTGGCCATCCTGATAGTCATCTAAAACTGACACTTGCTGAGGAACCTGAACTGCCCTCACAAGTAATACATTTTGCGTTTGCAGCAGAGCTTGTAGACAGCCTCCTGCTTGCAAAATGTGCCAAGATGCTCCAGACTGGGGGGGTACTTTTGCCGAGTGGGCTTTGTCGAATGGTGGTCTCTTGACCCAGTGCGCATGCGGCAGAGAAACTGGCCTATTCCCTGGTAATGACTGGTCAGAGATAGGTAACCTTCTCTATCGCAATGCATGTTGGATAAACTGTCCCAGCATTGTCACGAAAACCTCAAACACCACTCTGAAACAAAAGATACTTTCAAAACCTGAAAAGCTTTTGCCAGCACCAGAACTGTATTATTGTAGTTATTGGCAGGTTTGACTGTTTCATTGGCAGATTTGACTATTATGAGATGTCAGGTTTTTCCACGCTTTATCATCATTTATTTTGGGTTTTGAATTTTGAACTAGTAGCATATGGACTTGTCTGCGTGTCTGAAGGGGTTTTAATGATTAACTTGTAAGTATTTCTGTAGCCATGGTGATTGCTTTTAAAACACAATATTGGACGGGGGAAGTGGAAGGGGATGGGGGGGAGCGAGAGAGAGAGAGCGAAAGCGAGACACACACACACACTACCTGGAGAGGAATGAAGGTTTTGATGACACAGGGAGAGTTCATGAGTGAAAAACGCAAACAGTGTGGTACATTAAGCTTTCAGGTAGAAGATTCTGAAAATTTTTGGGCGCTTAGGGGCAAACACCCATAGCTTAGGAACCAGTTATTTTAGTTTCAGTTTGGGTAGCTTTGCAAAAATCTTGACTGAATGTAGATTTGTTGAATTGTTGCTCTTGAGAAAGCCAGGTAGTTTAGCTCTGTTAAGCAGTTACGTCAGTGTAAGCAGTTTAGTTGAAACATTCCAGATCAGAGGTATTTGGTTAAAACTCTGACAGGTTGTGTGAAGCTGAGAAAGTCTAAGTTCGGTTTTACCAGGCTCTTGGAAGAGGCTATCACATTCTCAAGATGGGGAACTGAAGCCACAGTTAAATTAATCCCCTTAGGGGTGATGGAGAAGGAAATTTTCTCTGATGTGAGTACTGTAGAGGAGTGGTTTTGGGCCCAATGGGATTGTCTTTTACCATGTGTTTTGGAATCTTTAAATTTGTGTCCCATGCAAATATTTTCATTTATATGTTTTCTTGTGTAGGGAAGCCCTTTCACTGTTAAAACCCGATTCTGCGGCTATTTAGTATTTATGTTTCAGTGAAAGACCACCTTGTTTAAACCAAAAATGAAACAAACAATGGTGGACAGGCTGGCATCTGACGTATTCAGTAACATCGTGAGCTGGAGCTCAGAAACACTGACCATGGCAGGTTCCAGCGAGTATTTCTCAGGGTTAGCCTTGGCTCTCTCGTACTGCTCCCTCATGATGCAGATGTGGCTGTTGTTGTTACAGAAGTTGCTACAAGGTTTACATAGGCCTCCAGCCACAGCCGAACCCACGAACAGCGGCTGGCACTTCTCGCAGTGATCGCCCTGAGAGAGACACATGTGACAGCTGACCAGGTACCAGTGAGATATTAGAAACCTGCCTCCACTCCAAAACACAAGCCCGATCTGCTCGTTCTCCCACAATCTATCTCAACCAGTCCCTTCCCAATCTCACATAGCACTGGCCCCTCGTCTCTCTCACCCCGACGCTCACTCACTGCTATCCCGAAACTTCCTCTCCCCCACCTCCCTGACACTCCTCCCCGTCTCCCCCCCTCG